CCGAGGCGGCCATCTTGAATGGTTAAGCGAAAGATAAGGAAGATGTGAAAGATAAAAGACGGGGAAAAAAAACTTGATTTTATTGCTATGAGGGGCCAGACGAGCTCCTTCCTCAGTTGCTTGACCGGACGCTCATAACCGGACAGACTTGTAGTAATCGGATAGGCTCTCGATACTAGTGAAGGGAGCGGAGGGGTCGTCACCACTGTATGTTAAACCTGTTCTCCCTTCGTCATTGCTCGTATAAAACCACGTAGAAACCTCGACTCATGGGCCGGTATTGATTATTTTTCCTTTGGTATTAGGTCACATGAGGAGGAGGATGAATTTTACGTGTGGCATCATAATAAGACTTTTACTTCATATTTTAGATTGAGAAAGTGATGGTCAGGAATAACCCGACGTCCCTATTGCTCTCTACCCTCTCCTCCTACCCCTCTCATCCCTCTTCCTCCCCTCTCCCTCCCCACTCGAATTGTAAGTGTCTCCTCTTCCTGAACGTGACTTGGGGAGAGGTTTGTGTCGTGGGGAATCAAGCCGTAGGTCGAGATAAATGTGTTAAGTACGTCTCGCATCTTGCAATAAAGTGACGAACATTATTTATCAGTCATGGTGCGTCGTCTTCGGTCTAGCAGGAAAATCTGTTACACTGCGTCCCTCCGCCAACCTGTGTCTTGAGTTTTTGTGACTCCTACGCTCTTAAGACTTTGGTGAAAGGAGGAGAGGACTGTGTGTGTGTGTGTGTGTGTGTTCCGCGTCACCACAGCCCATATCAAGTGTTATGAGGTCGTATTACACAGACACACACACACACACATTAGTATTTGTGAGGTGAGGGCATCAGACATCACCTCTCAGCAGTTCGGATAGTTTTGTCTCTTTGTTACTCTGTTGTTACGGCCTGTCCTAGTCCGGTGTTGGTACAAGAGGAAACCAGAGTACCCAGAGAAAACCCTCTCTCACACACACTTGTCCCGGGGTGGGGATTGAACCCAGGATACAATGAAAGAGATACTCTCGACACACCTTACGACCTTAAAGTGTTTTGTGATTTACGTAGATTTAGATACATATCTTTAAGTTCAGGGGTTACATCAACGAGGTACATTGTCTTGATAGCGGAAATACAGTGAGGTTAATGATGTGGCCGAGATGCAGTTGTTAGTAAGAGGAAGGTGTACCGTTAGTGTGTACCAGTCGCCGCCCCGCCCCGCCACGGTGGCATGGCCGCTTTGGGCACCTGCCGAGACCGGAGACTACCAATAAACACCCAGTTTTCCTCCTCGTGGTAGAGCGCCAGCAGGAAGATCATTATGTCCTGTGTATCGATGATGTGTCGTGGGGGGAGACTAGCCCAAGGTACAGTAATATTCTTGCCTTTGTGTGACAACTGACAGCAAGAATAAGACTTGAGACCAGTGAGAAACAGAACTTGGAGAAATATTTCCAGTTCTCGTTCCACCTTATACAGTAGTAGCCTCACGCGCGCACATCCTTACTTGCACACACCACCTCACTCATCCTTACGTGCACACACATGCAAACATCCATCCTCACACACACACACACACACACACACACACACAAAAAAAAAGGCAGGTGTTTCCAAGCAAAGCCGCACCACCTCACTACCTGTGGATGGCCGCGGGATCCTGGGGGGGAAACCCACCAAGCCAGCCTGCACCTTTCCTCACCCGAGGGTGGGTCACCTTCCTGAACCACCAGTGTGGCCTGGCGGCGGGAGGATAGTGATGGTGGCCTTCACCTGTGTTGTGTACTGTACAGCTGTGTCCCTTGGTGAGATGTTACTCGTGTCTTTGTTTGTTGTCTGTTCTTGTTGGTTGGTCTCTTGTCGTTTCTCTACTTCACGGTGAGTCGCTGTCTCTATCATGCCTTGTACAGTGTTTACCTCAGAATGTCATAACTTTCTCCTCTGTTGTGTGGCTGTGTGAAGCTTAAGGTTACAGCGTTTGGTGAGTCAACCTGTGGGTCGGACACACACACACGGTACTGTATACAGGGTCTCAAGAATGTATGCACACTGCCTTACATATTTTCTTGGCGTGAATGGTTGTATTACAACAGCATCGTCCTCACTTGTGGCAGATCCCACACATCAACAAATGAGGAGAATATTGATGTTGTCAGAAACATTCACACCATTTTCACAAACGTGTGTAAAAAAAGTGTAAGGGAGGAATCCTGCTGTGTACTGTACATGGGTGTTGGTCTACATTATTAGTTATCCCTCGCTCATGAAATGGGAGGGATATAGTAGCCCGTTCCGTCACTCCGTCTGTCATTGAGTTTAATTCCGGAATATATTTTAGTGGGAAGGGTAGTTTAAAATGTCTTAAATATCAACTTGTTTCAGTATTTCAGTGGCGAATGATGGAGGTGAATCAGTGTTGTCTTGTGTCAGTCAGAATAAAGGAGTGAGCGGCATTAATTACAACACTATATTGTACCCGAGACGAATGTAGACGTACTGTTCAGAGCAGCGGCGGCGGTACAGTGGACGAGAGAGGTAGTGTGTCAGTCAGTCAGTCAGCACGTATGAAGAGAAGTCTTTTCCACCTCAAGACTTTCACTCTTCATTATTTCTTTTCAATTATTAACGGACAATAAAAAAAATTATTTGCAGATATCGATTTTTTTATGACCCATGTGTGGCCTATGTAAGGGGAGATAGCCGACTATACCAGTGACGCCTTGTTGAACCCTATTCTGTACTGCCCTCGTGTCACACCACCACCATATACACTAACCTGAGCTGACCTAACATAACTGGTATTCAATTATTTCATCTCGTGTTTGTGCTGGATAATTGTAGTGTATTTGGTGCTGCTCTGGTGCTGTAGGTTGTTTTAAGACTTGTGTTTGATGTTTCAATGATTCCGGCCGTTGAAACTACTACTAATAATAAACTACACCCCCTCCTCTCTCCCGTCGTGCAGAACCAGGTCAGTGATTGGCAGATCGTGTTTAACCCCCAACCCACATCCCCCCTACCCCTCGTCCCCACCCCACACCCCCCCTCCTCTACCTCACCCCATCCACCTCTTGACTTACCTGGTAATTAATTTCCTCTTGGTCTAAAGTAGGAAAAATCTATTTTGGATTTATTAACTGGAGAATGTACGGCGAACGTCTTCCTAGAATTCTTATAATAAACAAATCAACGTTTTGAAATATCTAATGATTTGTATTTTTTTAATTGAATAGTTATGTTTTGTTATAAATTTTTATATTGGGTTTAAACTGAAGAAAAAAGCCACAATGTTTAGTGGTAATATAATATTTCTAGTGATTGTCTATATTAATTTTTTTTAGTCATTATTCTGTCTTCATCTTTTTCATAACATAGTGACATGCAGAATTTTTTCCTATCCCAGTATTATCATGGTTGGTGTAGTTTTTGGCATGACGAAGTGCATGTTACATCTGCAGTAGCAAGTTGCTTAATCGACGCTGACTGGGCGAGTGGTAGAGGGAGGGAGGCAGCAGCAGGCGTGAGTGGGTGAGTTCAGGTGACGCCCGTATATTGTTCCTATACACCTGGTCCACTAAGGTTAATTAAGGACGTGCTGTTGAGTATTATAATGGTACATTGGTAGTATCATTACGACTATTATCATTACGTCATGTAGAATATAACGTTCCTCACCGCGGGGAGGGAAGTTAGGTAAGCATATTGGTTAGGGCTTTACGTTCAGATGAGACAGTCACTCCTTGTAGCTGTCGGTCAAGCAGGCAGGTCAGCAGACTAGTAGTGTGTTAGGGGACAGGCATTCAGGCATAAATCTTGCGTAAAATAGACCACACTCCGCCAGTCATACACACCAGGAAATAGTTCGTATAGCTGTGGACATGACCCGTAAACATTACTTATTTAGATAAATATTGTCGGGGTTCTCAAGTGTTTAGCAGCTGGATTACTTCTTTTCGGTATAGTTAAAACACTTGGTATATTATCATTGGAAGTTTTAAGCTGTCACATTCAGTTTATATACCGGTGTGAGGTCCGTCTAACACGACACACGCACACACCGTTGTAACTGAAACATCCTGTGTGAGGCTCCCAGATGTTGGTGTTCGTGGTCAGTTTTGTCTTGGACCGTTGTAACAAGATTATAACGATGTGTGTGTGTGTCGTATTACGGTGGTGTAATGGCCGCTTCCTCCTGCGCTTCATCATTGGTGTCAGATCCACGGCGGCTCGTGGGAGTGGATTTCGCACCGTCAGTGATGATGCAGAAGCTAGTGAGGTGGTGGTGGTGTAGCCGCGAGGGGAGGTGGACGGCTGGTACCTGGATGAGTCTTGGATTCTCGGCAACTTTCTCCTCTGGTGCTGGGTGACTGAACCACGACTACTCCACCCCCCCCCCACCACCTCTCATCCCCCCACCACCAGCCCCACCCCATCCTCACCATCACCCCAGTCCCATCCTCACCACCATCACCCCACCCCATCCTCACCACCATCCCCAACCATTACCATCATCTACAGTAGCAGCAGCATCATCCTCAGTAACAACAGTAACATCACCAAAAAGTAACCTCAACAATACCAAGAGCAACATCACCACCACCACCAGTTCTTCTCCACCATCCTCTCCTCCTCCTCTCCAACACCAGCACCTTACATCAACAGAAGAACCACATGCATGACCATTTATTACACCATATCCCTTCTCTCTATAATATGCATACATCTATATTACCATTACTATTTTGTATATATTATTCAGTGCACATACAGTAGGGTCTCTTCCAACACGGATTTAACCCTAACTGTATATTATTAAAAGACCGTAAACCCGCGTTGGACGAAACCCTATATCTGCACCTTAATCATTTTCTGAAGCATTCTCTTTGTCTGGGAGATATTCTGTATATATCATAAAGGGCTGTCCAGGTGTAAGTTAGGATGATAACGAGGGACATCATATGCAGGTGTGTGTGATATGTGTCTGTTATAACTCGTAGGATTGTTGCAGGTGTGTGGTTGGGAGAGCCGCGCATCGTCAAGGGACGGCAAGGCAAGTCTCACCTCTGTACATAGTGACTGGAGCCTAGAAGAGTTCGCACCACTGGATGACTGTTTTAACCCACCAGTGCTGGCTAGTACACTAACCCACCAGTGCTGGCTAGTACACTAACCCACCAGTGCTGACTAGTACACTAACCCACCAGTGCTGGCTAGTACACTAACCCACCAGTGCTGGCTAGTACACTAACCCACCAGTGCTGGCTAGTACACTAACCCACCAGTGCTGGCTAGTACACTAACCCACCAGTGTTGGCTAGTACACTAACCCACCAGTGCTGGCTAGTACACTAACCCACCAGCGCTGGCCTCTACACTAACCCACCAGCGCTGGCCTCTACACTAACCCACCAGCGCTGGCCTCTACACTAACCCACCAGCGCTGGCCTCTACACTAACCCACCAGCGCTGGCCAGTTTGATTTTGCATTTAAGATAATGGTGTGAGTGATGCTGCCTCAGGGGGGATCAAGGTTACACATCACTGCCTGCCTGAAGTAAAGGAAGCTTAAAACAGAATGCTCTCTACAGTATTTTTTATATAAATAACTGGTTACATGTTGGTACTATATCAGTGTTATGAAAAACATCATTCCGGCTTTATTGTAAGAAAAAATGAACGAGAGCGTTGAATATTTACCGATTCACTGAACAATAAATGTATTGATTTTAAAAACAATTCTGACAATATATGGAATAGGAGTTGCAGAGGCGGAAAGTACACACATAACTCACGACATTTCAGGATATAACACGTTAGGTTAGGTGGTGCTAGAGACGCCAGGTGTAGAGGAGACTAGGATTACACAATATTATGGTTGGCCCGGTGTGTAGAGAGAGAGAGTTGCCTGTGTACGTGTGTCATGACGGGAAAGTTGTGAGGTAATAGTGACTGTTTACGGCTGGTTGCGTGGATAGGTGGGTGCGTCTTAGGGAAACTAGAACAGAGTCAGAGGTACTGTAGGCTATCGTGGGGTTAAACTAGCGAGTACTGTACACACTTGGTCACAACTTCCCCTCCCTGCTGGTTAGTTATACAAAATGTAGTGTAATCTTGTAGCCGCTTACTTGTACTTGTTAAGGATATGTAACGAGTTTTTTTTTCTATTTTCATGTCCGTAGCTACAGTTTGGGGAGTTTTGTAGAAGTTTTATCGTGTGAAGTTGGTATCTGAGAACGTGTGTGACCTCCCCAGCCATATGAGGACATTGTAGCGGAAGTTGCAAACAGTACTCTGGGATTTCAACACGCGATGGTTATAGTAGAGCTACATCATAAGAAAGAGCAGCGTTCGATGAAATATATATACAGACAAGACGAGAGTACAAAAAAAAGCAATTTCCTTTTTAAAAGAGTTTCACCTATACTGTATGGTCAAACATCATTGGAACTTTTTTTTAACACAAACTACACGGGCGATAACACTTTATTCTCCTCTACCATCACATGAAACCTTCTCTCTCTCTCCTTGACGGTGATGGACGTCCGTGTTGGAGTTTCACCTCATCGTGTTCTGAACCGTGATCAACACACTATAAATTCTCCCTTACCTCCAGTCGAGTTGTCTATCGTTGGTAAATTTGTAGTCGACGATCCTGACAGTGAGCATTGATAATTAATTAATGGGCAAATGTATAGATATTGATTCTTATTAATTGATGGTAGGGGAGGTAATGAGGATAATTTTACTAAATATTATTCAGTTCAGAGATCCCTATAACGGGTTGAAGGAGTGTTAGGTGGTGTTAGCATGATCTTGTTGACCTGTGTGGTGGGGGTCGTCTCAAGGTGGCTCCAGCGGTCGCCAGGAGTCACACTGTGGTCGTGATCCCGCAGTTGTTGACACTAGGCTCCACTCTGGCGCCGGTTCACCAGGTCGTTCGTTACATTGAATTAAGAACATAAGAAAATAAGGAGTCTGCAATAGGCCGGTTGGCCTGTGCATGGCAGCTCCTGTCGAGAGTTACTACCACTCTCTATCATCCATGAATCTATCTAGCCTCCCTTTGAAACTTTCTAGAGTTCCCGCACTTACTACAAAGTTGCTAAGCTTGTTCCACTCGTCCACCACCCTATTTGTGAACCAGTTCCTTCCTATCTCCCTCCTAAACCTAAACTTATCCAACTTGAATCCGTTGCTCTAAGTCCTATCCTGCTCGGATATTATAAGAACTTTATCTATATCCCCTTTATTGATTCCTTTCACGCACTTAAATACTTCTATCATATCTCCCCGCACTCTTCGTCTTTCTAGGGAATGCAAGTTAAGTTTCTTTAACCTATCCTGATATGGAAGGTTTCTAAGTCCCGGAATCATTTTTGTCATTCTTCGCTGCACCGACTCTAGTGAATTTATATCCATTCTATAACAGGGGCACCAGAACTGGACCGCATAATCGAGGTGCGGCCTGACTAGCGCAAGATACAGTTGCAATAAGACCTCTGCACTCTTGTTACTTACACTTCTAGATATAAAACCCAATACTCTGTTTGCCTTATTTCGAACATTAACGCACTGTTTTCTAGGCCGTAGGTCCGGGCTTACAAGTACCCCTAGGTCTCTTTCACAAGTCGACTTCTCTAGGTTGATGTTGTTAAGGCTGCATACATTACAGTATTTGTTCTTCCAATATTAAGTACGCTGCACTTGCTGGTGTTGAATTTCATTTGCCATTTTTCAGACCACCCCTGCAGTTTATTTAGATCCTCCTGTAATGCATTTGCATCCTGCCCTGAATTAATCTGCCGCCCTATTTTGGTGTCATCCGCAAACTTGCTTATGTCACTGCTGATCCCAGTATCTAGATTGTTTATGTAGATTATGAACAAGAGTGGGCCTAGTACTGACCCCTGGGGAACCCCACTGGTTACACGGCCCCACTCAGATTTAACACCATCTACGCTGACCCTCTGCGTTCTATCGGTGAGCCATGATTTTATCCAATTTAAAACTTTCCCCTCGATACCATTAGCCTTAATTTTTCTCAGAAGCCTCTGATGCGTTACTCTGTCAAATGCTTTGCTAAAGTCTAAGTAAATAACATCGTAATTTTCGTCATTATCCACTACCTCGAAGACTCCTACAAAACGTTAGCAGATTTGTTAGACAAGATTTTCCCTTTGTAAACCCATGTTGAGAGTCGTAGATTAATTTGCTTTCTCTAGATGCGATCGGATGCTATCTGCTATAATTGATTCAAGAAATTTCCTCACTACTGACGTCAAGCTGATCGGCCGGTAATTTGACGCTGATGCTCTGTCTCCCTTTTTGAATATGGGTACTACATTTGCCTGTTTCCACAAGTCTGGCACAACTCCAGTGTCTAATGATTTTGTAAATAAGTTGACGAGGGGTCCGCTAATCTGTTCCCTACACTCTTTCAAGACTCGAGGGAAAATTTCATCCGGCCCTGGGAATTTTGTTTTCTTTCTTTATTTATCTTAAGAACATCCTCTTTTCTGATAGTGATATTCTTTAATTTCTCTTCTTCCTTTCCCTTAAATATCAGTTCCACCTCTGGAATTTCACCTGAAGATTAAACACCCAAACCTAACCTGACTATATCCCCCAAACTTAAACACAACACACACAGACAGACAGACAGACAGGCCGTTTTTTATTCGTATTGTATTTGTACCGTTTTAGGGTGTGGTGCTGCGTGACTGCATGTTGGAAGGTGTGTGGTGCGAACTGTGGTATGGTGAGGTGTGTGAGTAGGAGTGGTGTGGTGTGGTATATTGTGTATGTGTACTGGAGTGTATATTGTGATGAAACTGTATGAGACAACTTCATAGCGTAACCTTCACGCGGTGGTGAGTTTGGTCTCTTTAAAAACTCCAGCAGGCAACTGTGAAAAAAAGACCTCGACGCGGTGTAACATTATGAAAATTATCATGATACTGGCAACCCACCAGGGACACCACATCTCATTATATTTACAAAAACAACGGAGGAAAAAAAAATATATTCCCTAACGTACAAATATATTAACTGTACAAAATATATCGTTCGGTAAAGAGCAAAAGTTAAAAAAGAACAAAAACAAGCGAGGCGTCGTCCGAATCCGTCTTATACATCGTAACACTACAGAAAAAGAAGTGTTATATGGAAGGGAAAAAGAAAACTCTTCCAACGAACGTACTGTCAAATCATTGGTTACTTTCACATGGTCTTGGCTCAAATTACGTTTTTGCTGTTTTTTCACACACTCATTGTTACTAGAGAAGTCGATCTCTCGGACACGGTAATCGTTCGTTGCCTTGAGCGCTTGTTGGTTTCCTGAGATTTGCTTGTATATATTTTTTCAATCGGTTATGAATATTGTTTGGCTACATGTGCTTGTGTTTACTTGTTTGGATCTTTTTTAATCATGGCTATTGTTTCTGTATGTGCTTCTTTTTGTTTGTAAGCTTCTGTTGTATGCCTGAATGATTTGTTTGTGCATTCTGGTTTGATTTGCCTGTACATATTTATTTCCTGGTATTTGTTGGTTGCCTACACGTGTTATTTATTCTGTTTATATCTGGTCTGTCTGCATCTCAACATCCTCAAAGTGAACGTTTCTAATTCAGGTAATTTTTATATTATTCTGGACAGTAGCTTTGCGTTCAAGTGATCCTCTTAAGTGTAGTTTTAACATCATCTTACGAACGGAATTCGTCATTTTATGCCGTTAAGGTAACATGCATTAACATAGGGAAAATTGAATGTCGGGTTAGGTTGAAACTACAGGATGTTTTCGCAAGATTATTATTGAATTGTAAAGAGTTTCAAGTTTGTGCAGGACCCGTCACTTAACACAAGTTATTATTATTGTCAAACTTAAAAAAAACTAAAACAACACTGAGGAAGAGGCGAAAGTAAAAGAAAATATATACCGAGGGTATATATACACTACAGTATATATAGAGAGAGAGAGCTGCGTTACCTAGTGTCTCCCTCCCTCGCCTCATTGTCCATCATATAACCTTGAATTAGTTTCCTAGAATCGGTATCCTTGGAATGACATGTGTAACAGTGTATGTTTCGTTGTTTCCTTGCTGGACAGTGCGAGGTCAGGTGAGGGGAAGGAGTGAGGGCAGTGGGTGCATCATATAAGGAATTACGTACACAAGCATCTTGTTTTTGTTTAGCCGGGAGCAACATGAATACATAAAATATTCCAGAAACCATAAAAAAAACAATAACCGATAAATGAAACGAAGCTGAATAATAAAATTGAAAAAAAAAATAATTGAAACGTTTCGTAATGTTGAAATAAACGGGAGTGGTTTAGGCTATAACTAACTACCGGTAACTGTTATTATTATTTACTAAACAATAAGAAAACAATATTTAAATCTCTGGGAATTGGGATTCAGGAAATCCCCCTCTAGCCTCCCTCTGTTATGTCCGGGAAGGAACAGAGTGCAAGTGGACGCGATGTGTGAGGTGTAGGTAGCTGCGTCCCCCCCTGCCTCGCCTGCGCGTCCCCCTCTCGTCTGTGCCCCTGCCTCGTCTGTGCGTCCCCCTGCCTCGTCTGTGCGTCCCCCCTGCCTCGTCGTGCGTCCCCCTGCCTCGTCCGTGTGTGTGTCCCCCCTGCCTCTGTGTGTCCCCCTCTTGTGTGCGCGTGTGCGTGCGCGCGTGTCCCCTGCCTCGTCTGTGCGTCCCCCCTGCCTCGTCTCGTCCCCTGCCTGTCTGCGTCCCCCCTGCCTCGTTGTGTTTGTGTGTCCCCTCTCTGCCTAGCGTGTGTGTGTGTCCGTGTCCCTCCCTCCTGTCTCGTCTGTGCGTCTTCCCCTGCCTCGTCTGTGCGTCCTCCTGTCTCGTAGATGCGTCCCCCCTGCCTCGTGTGTGCGTCCCCCCCCTGCCTAGTCTTTGCGCCTCCTCCCCCCTGTCTAGATGATTACAGTTAAGAAGCAGGAAGACAATAAAACGGTTAACAAAATATATAGGGAACGTGGGGGTGGGTGGAGTAATGCTACCAGCTGACGATGACTTGATGTGTTTGTGTTGGAAACTTTCACAGTGATACAGTCTTGGTTGACGGAGCATCCGGTGGTGAAGAACAAAAACATTCTTCGTTTTCCTATTTATTTTCTCAAAGGAAAGCATGATGAGACGTTATATATTTTGGCTTTTGTTTCATACATGTTGTTTATACGGTCGGTGCCCTGTGTGCGAATTTCTACCCCCGGAGTTAGGATTTCTTATGAGGTTTTCTAGCGGGAGGGAGGAGGGTTCTGGTAGGTGTTGCTGGTGAAAGTTGTGGGGCGAGTGTGCATAGTGACTCGCACATAACTAATGATAACGACTTTCTGATTTCTTGAGAGGTTTTAGGGTTTTTTGATGTACTACTCTCTTATTAAGCGTAAGTTCCCTTAACCCCACGCCAGGTAGATATTTTTTTAATGTTTTAGAACGGCATGTATATAAACCAATTTTTAACACGTTTGGTTTATGTAACACTAGGAGTTACTGTGTTGGGGAGGGTGTTGTCTAATGGTAGACCCTGCTGCCATATGGCATCACGAAAATTGTGACCAAGTCCCAGGTTGCTGATATGACTTTCTGCTTCATTTACACGCAGTTGCAGGGTCTCAATTGTTTCTCTTACCATTGACAACACAACATACATATATCGTTACTCACTTTTGATCTTTTTTTTCATTTTTGTATTTATAGTTCTTTATTATTAATATTATTATTATTATTACAGTTACTGTATTATCATTATTTTATTATTTTATTTTGTTTGTTTTATCATAAATTTTATTTATTATGAATTATTATGACTATTATTTATTATTATTATTATTATTATTATTATTATTATTATTATTATTATTATTATTATTATTATTATTATTATTATTATTACATTTTCGCCCCCCAGGCCCCGATGTGGGTCAGTGACCTGTGTCCGGGTGGGCTAATCCCCGTTAAAAAAACAAAAAAACAAAAACAAACAGCCAGCACGCCCCCTAGCATCCCTCCCAGCACCCCTTCCCCAGCACCCCTTCCCCAGCACCAGCCTGTAGAAGTGGTACATGTAGCCACAAATCTCCACGAGTTGGCACTCATGAAGAATCCAGTTTTCTTATGCAGATTAGTAAGCATGAGCAGCAACTATGACTGGAATTATTGCCAAAAATGGATCTTTATTTTCCATTAGTTCCGGTGATTGATGCCGGAGCTCAACCCAAGACACTTGATTGATAGTAAAATGTGAATTGATCAGGGACGAGGTGTGTGTACTCCTCTCCTTTCACAGTTACTCTTGGAAACGTGGTAACCAAAGTAGTACGTCGGATTTATACAAACTTGTGTAGCGTGTGGCTCAGGGTCTCGTGTAGGGGGTCTCGGTGCTTGGGGTCTCGTGTAGGGGGAGTCTCGGTGCTTGGGGTCTCGTGTAGGGTGAGTCTCTGTTCGGGGTCTCGTGTAGGGGGGAGTCTCGGTGCTTGGGGTCTCGTGTAGAGTTAGGTAAGAGTGGTAGGGGGTGGATGGGGGCAAGTGGAAGAGGTTGAGAAGACGACATCAACAACAACACAAAGTGAAAGTAATGTACGTACGTGTGTGTGTGTGTACGTGCTCAATTATTGTTCGTGTGTGTGTATACTTGTGACTGTTTGTAGTGTACCTGTATGTTTATGTATATTTGTGACTGTAGTTTTAGTATGTCCGTCTGTGTGTCTGTTTCCATGTGTGTAAAGGTAGAACCCCTCGTCAGTGTACAGGTGAAGCATGTTTACCTACCGACAGTGTAGCCTCAGGTGAGATGATGATGGGGTTATGGTGGAAGGTAGAGGGGGGGGGTTCATTAGTCATCTTCACTATTGCGTTGTTCTCACGTTAACATGTTACACCAAAGGCAAGAATGTCTGTATGGTTGAGTGTTTCTTGAAGAATAACCCAGGGCAGGGAAATGCTGGGTCTTATATACTGTATTTTTACTATTTTAAAATCTACTTTCCAAAACTCGAATATTGTTTATTAGGACTCGGGTTTCTTATTTTAGGTTAATTATGATATTTAGTTTTTTCTTTGTGAAAATGCTGACATCAGTAGTTCCTAGTTTAACGTCAGTGACTTAGGATTTTCAATTTTTGAGAGGCTTGAAGTAGTTAAATGTTCACATCAAGTTTACTAAAAGTAGTATCAGAAAGTAGGATTTTTTATGATAAAAGCCGCTGGCCTTACTGCCCACGTATCAGTGTATTTATAATGTTTAAAAGTGGGCACCATAAATTTGTCAAGCGATATCGGTGGTAACCTTAATCTAGCGAGTGGCGATGAGCGGGACTTTCTTCACCTTAACAGAACAGGTTCTACCTCACCCGTGTGTCGTGTCCTTGTACATTTTGTTGTAAGTAAATTCTACCTAATTAGTAAACCTATGATTTGATTCTGTTGTTTCTTCTTAAAGTGTGTGTGTGTGTGTGTGTGTGTGTGTGTGTGTGTGTTTTAAGAGGCCCCTACACTGTCAATATTAGTGATCGTTTAGATTAGGGTAAATATTGATGAATATCGCAATAGTTTTAATAAAAGTCGGTTTGATTTTTTTTTGCGCAGTGCTTCATTTCATATTAAAAAGTATCACACTTCAAGGTGATAACCTTTTAATGATCTTCTCGACTGTAACATTAGTACGGGACACATGTACAACCATTGTCTCCTTTACATATCAATACATTATTTGTGTAAATCTCTTTATTTTAAATTAGAATGTTTCAAACTTGAAAGCAAAATTTTCTTACCTGTATACAAACTTTAAGGTAGTCTATACCAGCATATGTCTCCATAACGATACAAATACTTGCCTGGGGAGATATTGTGCTACTAACTAAATTTAATGCTGTATCTTCAAATGTGTTGCCGGTGGCCAAGTAGAGCTATGTTACTGATAACCTCTGACTTGCTGTGATCTATCTCCTATGACTGTTTTTAATCAATGGGGGTTACCATCTTTACGGACTCGTCAAACGCTGCACCATCCATACACAAGAAGTTTCTGTAATCTTTTGGCTCGCTGACTTGTATCCTTTAACAGACTTTCATGGCTATAATGATTTATTTTCATGTACACTGTACCATCGCTTCATTCACCAACGCTTTTTTTTTCAACACCAAAAGCTAATGCAATGGTTATACAGTACATGCCGTACCTGTGTCTGCCATGTTGACTATAAGAAAGTGGGTGCCGTACTGACAGATTTTTGCGCAATAATATTGAGCCACATAGGTGATGTACATATGGCCCAATAATAATGAATCGATATGTTGTTTCGTTAGTATTAACCTGCTGCAAGTTTGTTTGTTTGTTTGCTTGTACCTCTCAATTTAGGTGAATCATTGATACCTGTATGGGTCGCCAACTTCCATTTAAACGTTCTTATAATATACACGAGCCATATAATAATTGCCTTAAAAATGGTCGTCAATCTGATATTATATGGTCTTTAAATTGATTATTATTCTTATTTAATACTGCCTTTAAATTTATATTATAATAAAATATAAGGTTGATCATTCTAATATGATAGTAAGATTGAAGATCATTTTGATATAATATGGCGTTTATAGTGATGATTCTTGTATAATATAAGAAGATTGATGATCATTCTAATTTAATGGTATGGTTGGTGATTATTTCAGTTGTCTTAATACTTGACTTGTTATAACAGGTTGACAGTATGATATGGCGTCTGTTGTAACTGTCAATGGTTATACATTTATTAGAGTATAAGTTGTCTTCATCTTAACAGTTGATGGTCATTTAGAAATTTACTAATTTTGTGAAATTAATTTACATTCATCACAGCAATGGATTCAGGTGATGTTAATAGTTTAAGACAGAACACTTCTAACATTTTTAGGCTGCTGTTTTATTTTAAAAGTGGCATCCGTGTTAAAATTGAATTGTGTTGGAAAATCTTACTTGTTTCCCTCTTAAAAATACTGATGGATTTCTGCATCAAGTACTGTACAGTAGTCATACTTTATATTTTTCCCCAGGGTGATGGAGAGTCTGCCCCTGACACGCCACCGCCAGAGACGGCTCCAGATGATGATGGCGGCACGCCTGCCGTCACCACTGAATCGGAGACCATTACTAAACCTTCCCCGACTCAAAAGTCTTCCAGCCGTAATAAATCAAAGAAAATTGCCTCGGCTGCTGCTCCTCCTCCCCTGGAACTTAGTTTCAACTTGGACGGCATGTCTGTCACCCTCTTTATATTGTCCTTTGTTACACGCATTTGGAAATTGGAGACTCCCAGAGGAATTGTGTAAGTGCAGCAATGTTTTTCTAATGGAAACGCCAGCAGCCGTTTTCTTAGTCGTTCCGGAGCTAGGCGAACACCTTCGGGAGCTAGCTCCCTACACGTGAATGGGTTCCTTGAATGCCTTTCCAAGGCCTCTCAAACCAGTCGTACGCATCATTCATGCGTACTTCCGGTGTGAGAAGCCTCGGAAACATGTTTACGAAACCCATTCGTGTGGGGGGGGGGGGTTGCTAGCTCCTGAACAACTATGAATATGGCTGAAATTCTTTAATGGATAATTTTATTTTTTATCACTTTCAGCTCTTACATGGCAGCTATTATAGATGAAAGTTAGCTGTAGGGAAAGCAGCCATCATCTTTGTAAATTAGTTATAGGGACGGTAGCCATTGTCCTTTTAAATTAGTTGTAGGGATGGCAGTCATCTGTAAGTTAGCTGTGTGGATAGCAGCCGTCGTCTTTGTAAACTAGTTATAGGGATGGCAACATTGCAAAGGGGACGGCAACCATATCTGAAGGGACTGCCGCCATCGTCTATGTAAGTTAGCTGTAGGGACGGCAGCCATCGTTTATGTAAGTTAGCTGTAGGGACGGTAGCCATCGTCTTTGTAACTTAGCAGTCGGGACGGTAGCTATCGTCTTTGTAAGTTAGCTGTAGGGGTGGCAGCCATCATTTGTAAAGTTCAATGTTTCTTGCATTCCATTTTTGCAGATTGTTGGGGACCCCCTGTATACTGTACTGTACTGTAAATGTATTGCATTTGACTTCTTAACTTGTGGTAAGCAATACTGTACAGTATCCACTTTTCACAGGTTTGATGAACTGCACTATGGGAAGTACGCAGGATTGTACATGCAGAACACCTTCTTCTTTGATTCTCAGCCGCCCCTTGGCAAACAGTTGATAGCTCTTGCCGCCTACCTGGCAGGTTTTGATGGTTAGTTCATGAAGTTTATTGTACTTTACAAGAGGTCTGATTTCTTCACTTGTATATTAAAAACAAAATTATGTCATTTTTCATATTAGTATTTTGAGTACTGTACTGTACTGTACTGTATAGTGTTGATTATATGTCTGTTACTGATTGTGATATCACATTTAAGGCAGTTTTCTCAATACCCTATACAGTACAATAATGTATAAATATTTTCTTTACACTGTACTTGTTATATTTTTATAACAATATACTGCATGCCCACCTGTTAACAAAAACACATATTACAATTTTAAGTACTATTCAGTGCACTGCACATTATTGGCTTGTAGTTTACAGAAATATTAGCATTCTTATTCTCAGTAATGACCAGTACATATCGTAACTCTTTTCTTATAAACAGTATAACTATCCTTGTGTTGGGGATAAGAAACATAGTTAAAGTTCAGACACAGTATTGTAGTGGAATGATGAATTAAGTGTTAAAATATTAAGATCTTGTGCAACTATCAACTTTGTTACTGGTGTCAAGATATAATTTTTATATCTTTTTCTATGAATTAAGATAATGTGATTTGATGTCCTTTGTAGGTCACTTCTATAATATGAGGTGTTGTGGATGTTAGTGATGACCTCGACATGTATACCGTATATGAAAATTCGTTTACTGGGGTAATATTTATCTCCAGAGTCTGTAGAAGATAGTGAACAGCATCCCAAGATGCCAGTACATACTGTATTGGGAAGATTAAATGCATTTGAAGGGTTTTATATTGGGTGCGTCTTAAGTCGCGGTCATCATTAACATCTGCAGCGCCTTATATGTAGTTCCAAGTCCATGGGATCAGAGCCCTTGGTATTAGTGTGCTGGTACTGTATTAATACTGTTGTGCTATGATGTGAGTTACATAGCACAAGCGCATGATTATGATGAAGGTAGTGTAAGCTGTCATATTGTGGGATTTCAAGATCAACCCTTCATTTTTCTTGCAGGTGCATTCAAATTTGATCGCATTGGTACCCCTTATGATCCCATTGTGCCTGTGTCAGCCATGCGTGTGGTTCCAGCATTTTTTGGATCCTTATTAATGCCCACTGTCTATAATGTATTGGTGGAGTTGGGACTCTCGCACTATGCAGGAGCCCTTGCTGCATTTCTCATGATATTTGGTAAGTATCCTTCTTGTAATGGTTGTATTAAAATAACTCGCTGGTAAAGACTAACAACTGAAAAATTTGATAAAGGAAACTTTGCTTAGTACAGTATTTGAGAGCATTTGTGAGGTTTTGTTTAGAGGTAGCTGGGCTGAGATGGGTTGAGCCTTTGGACAGAATGGAGGACCCCAAAGGGTGCAAGAGTCCAAGTGTGAAGGAAAGAGAAGCTGCAAAAGCCTGTTCAGCATGGATGAAGAGCTGCCATTAGATAATCACAGCTAACCTATACGGGCATGGAAAATTGCCATAGAGTGGTGATGTGATTGCCCTTACTGTTTGGTTTCAATAATATGGAATTAAAAAAATGTTTTGTATATCACTGCTCCTTGGTCCCTATAATAGTATTAATCACAAAGTTGCCATTGAGCTTGCTGAGCAGTTTATTTCTTTATGTAAATGCACATATCCATTATAGTGATTTTTGGATGGTAACTGCAAATTCTAAGCTTGGCCATTTTTTTTTTGGCATTGTAGTGAAGTAAAATTGGGTATCATGAATTTAAATGTTGTTGTTTTGGCCTTTGCAGATAATGCCCTATTAGCCCAGTCCCGCTTCATTCTCATGGAGGGAATTCTTATGTTCTTCGGTATATTTGGTCTTCTCTGCATTTTGAAATTTCGTCGTTTTTACCATCAGCCATACAGTATTCCCTGGTTTACCTGTCTAACTGTTGGGGCTGCGTCCTTGGGTGCTTGTGTATGGTAAGAAAAACCCCTTTTTGATCATGGTTTAAACATAATATAAATATACTGGTATGTTATAGTCAAGATTTAACAAATGAATACTGATATACAGTTCTGTTGTAGGATTTCCTGAAAACTGATTTTGATTTATATGTTCGCAGTGTTCGATACTTTGGTATATTCACGTTCCTTCTGGGATTTGGCATCTTGGCTCGTGACTTTTGGATGATGGTTGGCGATCGCTTGATATCTGAACGCCAGTTATTGGGACACTTCCTCACACGAGCAGTTATTTTTATAACCATTCCAGTTTCACTTTATATTGGCAGTTTTTATTTACATCTCTCACTGCTGTATAAGGCTGGACCCAATGATAATATAATGACTTCAGCATTCCAAGCCAGTCTTGAGGTGAGTTTTATATTACAGTATTTTTATTATTTTATACTGTACAGTACTGTACTGTGTATTAATATATTATTGGTGGTTTAAAGAATTTTCAGATCAAAGTTTTGTTTCTGCTCGTTCAGTTCAAAGTACAGTATCTCATGGTTTGAACTTGTTGCACAAGATTAAGGTACTCTTTCTCCTGACATCAGATCAAACTTAAAGATACTAAACACGTCAGTATTTGTATCAAAATACCTTGTCAACATCTTGCCGCTGTTTCATCAAGCATAACACGAGTTTTATTGTTATTTAAGTTAACTACTGTCGATGCAGTACAATACTGTATGTTGTTCTTAGTTTGTCTTTATAAACTGACCAGGTTCAGTATGGGAAGCCCAGAGCTGTCTGAGTAAGCACCTCAGCATCTTCTGATGCTTGAAAAAAAAAAATAACAAACATTTTCCTATGTACTAAATTGAAACTGGACCAAAATCAAGAGATAAGGGACTGCCTTTACTCTATTCCATAGACTTAACAAAATTTTAATTTTCTTACTACTGTAATTGTATCTGGTGGGTTATATTGAAAATTATATTTAATGAAGCATATTGTAATTGGTAAAGTATATTACAGTAATATATTTTATATAAAATGAGCTGGAGGAAATATTAGTGGCTATATACTACATGTTTAAGACAGACAAAACACTCGGATTATTGATAGTGTATATAATTTTATTTGATTTCATCTTCATATTTTGGAGTTTGGTTTGAATAATAATGATCATACAATATATTTTCTTTTAATAAACTTGCAGGAGGGAATGATAGCAAGAGAACATGAAATATGCTCATTAGCCAGCAGGTCTCCTTTTGTGAATGTGTACAGTAATTAAGCTTTTTTTTTTTAAGTACTGTAATTTATTTTATTTTACTAAAGGTGATCATTGTTTGGATACCATGAAACAATGGTAGTAGTGGGTCTGGGGCAGTAAAATATGGATTGTGGAATACCTGTACAGTACTTTATTATTTTATTCCTAAAGAGTTGTTCATTTTATGCAATTTTAGTTTGTACAACCTTCATAGTTATACTGTATAAGGACACTCCCAGCTATCTTAACTATTTTCATTCACGGTAACATTCATTTCTTGCCATCTCCTCTCTCAATCTATTATCAACCACTACTGTATACAAGGGGGGGGGGGGGCTATTCCAACTGATGTGCCTGATGTTGACACACTTGATATTTTACAGGGTGGCTTAGCAGCAATCGTTGCCAATCAGCCAGTAAAGGTACTTCATGGATCTCAAATAACGCTTCGCCACACTCATGGTCGTACGTGTTGGCTTCACTCTCACGATACAGTTTATCCCGTCAAGTACCCAGACGGGCGTGGGTCTTCGCACCAGCAGCAGGTCACGTGTTACAGCTACAAGGATGTTAACAACTGGTGGATTGTAAAGAAACCAGAGATGTAAGTTGGTAATAGTGCATCAGTTTAAATTTTGCTTTTAACTTTTTTCTACAAAATCGCTAAATTGAAAAATTGTACCATACACTATTTAAGTACAATACTGCACATAGATTCCATTATTTATGGATTATTTGCTTTTGATCTGTCAATGCGAGTCATTTGTTCCTTGTTCCTTCCATAGCAAGTGATAAGTGATCCAAATGTTGTAACTTAAGACATAAAGATTTAAAAAGATAAAAAGTGAACAGGTGGACGACTACAGTCTAGCACTTGGGTGGAAAAATAGCTTTTGCTGCCATTGATCAGCATTTCCTTGTATGCATATTTTGCCAAGCCTTAAAAGCAATATTTTTGCCCTTAGGAAACCACTACAGTGCACTACAGAATAGTCTTGTTAGATATTGCTGTCACCGTGTTTATGAACTGCCCTTAATTTTAAAAATAACAAATACTGAAATTCCTACCAGGTTTATAATAACAATATAACTAGTACCTCTTATTCTGTGAAGTTGTGGGCTGTAACATTGCATTTAATAATCCGAGGATTTATTTATTTTTTTTATAGCATTATTCAAAATTGTGTAAGGTATTTTGAACACTTGCATTAACCTGGTATTAAAGAAATGCTTATTGTTAAAAAGGATTGTCGAATTTTAGTGTTACCTGTAACCTGGGATATGGAAGACTTGTAAGATGAGTTTTCTTGATACAGTACAGTGAAACTTCCATGTAACGGAATCCTCTCTGCAATTAATACATTAGATGGGGGGTTTCACATCTAGTGGATCCTCAATGTAGTGGACGTTCATATTTACGTTATTCTTCAAATGGAGGGTTTACATCTAATGAACCCTAGATATAATGGACTTTCCTCTCCATATAGTCTGTTAATTAGATTTTTCATTGTACTGTATACATGTACTGCATACTGGTAATCATAAATATGGTTCAAAAGTTTTAAATTCAGCATCGATATCATTTTCTTTTTCCAGAGAGGAGTTGGTTGTGACAGAGCCTCAAGAGCCTATTAAAAATGGTGACATCATCCAAATAGTTCACGGCTTAACTTCTCGAGCCCTCAACTCCCATGATGTTGCAGCCGCCATGTCGCCACACAACCAAGAGGTGAGCTTCTAAATGTATCTTGCATGTTATTTTTTAGAATTTATGTAGAGTGTGTGTGTTTGTGTGATGGCTCATACAGTGTGTATTATAGTTTATAGCCTCATACAGTGTGTGTAATGGTTCGTAAAGTGTGTGTGAAGGGTTGCAATTTGAGATACACACAAAGTGGATTGAATTGGGAATTTAAAAGTCAAGTGTGAGGGTCATCTGTGAGCATATTACCCATGTGTTGCTTGTAATACTGTGCCCATATTAACTTTTTACTTTTCTTCTTTTCTTAGGTTGCTGCATACATAGACTACAATGTGTCTATGCCAGCTCAGTCATTGTGGCGCGTAGAGATTCTTAACGGTGAAGTGAGTGATGGATACTGGCATGCTGTGGAGAGTCAGGTAAGAGTCTTCAGTTGTAATGATGTACAGTACGGTCTTGTTAATGTCTATCTGATGGATTTATACTTCGAAGTAATTTAATAGAATTTTTGAATGTACAGTAGGCATCTCCTGATTTATTTGTTGGGTGAAGTGATTTCTGGAAGTGTTTTTATAGGATAACTGGAATGATTGATACATTGTTATACAGTGGGACACATCTCTACTGGCCAGCTGATGATAAAATCTACTTTCCTGTAGGTGGATATAGGGGACTAATGAGAGCCTGGAGCCTTGGCCTCTATTTCCCATAGGCCCAAGTTTTTCTTTTCTTTTCAAACATGGATTTACTTTGTACAGTGTAATCCAGGAACCTAACTATTGCATTGATTGAGGGATTTCTGTACTGTTAGGAAACTATGAATGATCTGCCAAATATAATGTGCTAATTATTCACTTAGAATGTGACCCAATTATCTCTCCTCTTTCAGATTCGTTTAATTCACTTGAATTCGAGTCAAGCACTCAAGTTTTCTGGACGTCAGCTCCCAGACTGGGGTTTCAGACAACATGAAGTTGTCACTGATAAAGTGCTTGATCAGGAGGATACGATCTGGAATGTTGAAGAACATCGCTATACACGAAGTATGTTGTGACCTTTTTGTATGAATGTATGTAAGGAGTTTGGCTATGATATAATGGGGTTTTAAACCTTGTCCTGTAAGTATGGTATGCACATAGCATGTGTTTCGACTCGTGCAAATTTTCGACTTGTCTTGTGAAGAAAAATGTTTTTTCTGCAAATTTTTGCTGCTGTATTTAGAATTTATTCATATAAAAAAATATGTTGATAGGGCTTTGGCTTAATTATACTTGGCCAAATATAAGTACAGTATGTTATATTGATGGTAAATGGAAAAAGATTGAAAGACTGTATCTGTTTGTATTTAGGCGGTAAAAAGGAAAGAACCACACCAGGGTGTTATTATCTTCGAGTGAAGACATGAATTTACTTTGTCATTGGTGAATCTTTTAGTTGGGATTTTGTAGATGTGCTACTAGAGATTACTATAGTGACAGTCACATGAAAATAAAATTTCTTATTTCTCTTTATAGCCGAGGACAAGAAAGAACGAGAGAAAGACTTGCTTCGATCAGAAATGATTCCCATGGAACGCAAGAATTTAACTTTCTGGAATAAACTGTTTGAACTCCAGTACAAGATGTTGTTTAACAACCAAGAAAATGTTGCTGGTCATATGTATGCTTCAGAACCCTTAGACTGGCTCTCTCTTAAGCGAGGTGTTGCTTACTGGATCTCTGCAAACAGCAATGTAAGTGCACTTCTCTTATGTCCCACTAACAAAAGCCAATGGGCATTATAATTTTACCGTACCTTTGTTATTCCATCATACAGTGGTCCCTCGGTTAACGAGCACAATCCTTTCCAGCAGGTTGCTCGTTAACCGAAAAACTCATTAACCGAAACCATTGTTTCAATGGGTTTTTGGGTAATTGGTTTCAGCTCACCGAAAATTGCCTAAATTCAACAAAAAAGGTAGAAAAGTACACTTACTTTGAGGTGTGTATGTAGAAGGCTCCTGGATGATGATGATGATGATGATGATGGGAATTAGAATGGGGGTGGAGGAGGAGGGAGAAGAGAAGGCAATGGGGTGTAAGAGAAGTCACCCCATGGCGCCATTTCACCCATAAAATTTTAGTTCTCTTGGTGTAATTCAAGATTATTTTCTTTAAATCAACACACTGCACTGCATTATATATTGTCAATTTGTAAAATAAATTTCAAAATGACCAATAATTTGCTTGGAAACACACAAAAAAAGCGTTTAGTTGAAGAGTCTCAAGCAAGATGCTCCCTCCACTGTAAACAGAGAGAGACTAACGCCTGTCTGGTGTGTTAACAGGCTGGATGGCATGCCAAAAACTAGTTTCTTTACCTTCAATTATGTTCAATAATTGTTAAAATGACTAAAAAATTTTATATTAAACTTTAAAAATTATTGAATAGTTTAAACTTCTTGATATTTACTAAAATAGTAAGGAATTTAAACCCTAAAACTGATTACTGTATTGGTGGACTAATACTACAGCTGGTGGACCGCCAAATGCAAGCGTAAACATGTTGAAGTTGGCTCGTAAAAAACTCGTTAATCGAGGGATTGCTCGTTAACCGAAGTTAAGAATCTTATGGAAGGTAAATCGTTAACCGAAATCTCGTTAACCGAGGCGCTCGTTAACCGAGGGATCACTGTATTGTTGTCTTTGTAATATATAGCTTTATTATATTTAATATCACAAAACCTATTAGTACAACAATCATATTGTGCCTATTGATCTTAAGACCAAAAGGGCAAAGATTAACATCACCATAAGCTAAACATGACCGTCTTTAATTCCCAAAATTTCCTTGCCAGATATATAATGTATCCAATTTAATTTGTATCATGTACACTAATATTTCAGATGAAGTGTGGCAGTTACCCAGTTTAGTCTTTAACCATTACAGTACAGTACCTGTACTATGTTTTATTGTTTTGTTTTTCAGGCTCAGGTTCACTTCATAGGAAACATTGTTACTTGGTTGTCTGGCACATTGAGTTTGGTAGTGTATGCCAGTCTCTTCCTGGTGTACTTACTAAGGCGACAGAGGGCTTGTTATGATCTTCCTGAGGATGCCTGGAACAAATTTTGCAGCATAGGGGAGGTGAGTGGACTGGTACTAAACTTTCCGTGAGAATTCATTGTTGTAATTATGACGTTCAAGTGAAAGGAAGTGAAGTTGGAGGGCCTTATCTTACACCTGTGGCTGTGGTCCTGCCAGTATAGACTTTAATCACCACTGTTTTTTACATTTATCAGTACTGGTGAAGAAATGGAGAAAAAAAGCCATATTTTAGTTATTAGCTCTCCTGTTTGTAGTGAAGTGAATTTTGACATAAGGTTATGGTACTTCCCCCTCACCCCCTCCAAAAAAAAAAATTGTCTTTATAATCTCAAAATACTGTACTGACCAAGAGTGGTTGGTGCCAGTACGTATTTGTATTTCTGAAATAAATATGCGGTTGTAAAAAATTTTCTTATGTTGATGTTTTAATGTATATTTGTTTTTCTTGTACAGTAATCTGAATTTAGAAGACTTATAATTTATTTTAATATTGCGAACTTCAATATTCTTAATGTTTTATTATTATACTGTATAAAGTCGAGTACAGTATTCAACGTTCCAGTTACACGTGGGGCTCATTCTTTGTGATGAAATAAGGAGTTTAATATAGACTGGGAATAGTGTGCAGAAGTTTTGAACAGTTAATATATTGAATATGAATATTGTATAAATTCATGAAGTATTTTCTCACTTGTCAGTTTATTATTATTATTAGTAGTAGTATGTATTAGATGGTTACTTGACAAAATATTTTTACAGGTTCTTGGAATTGGATATGCAGTGCACTACTTCCCTTACTTCCTTGTTGACCGGACATTGTTCCTTCACCACTATATGCCAGCCTACATATTCAAAGTAAGATTACTATTTTTTTAATAAGGTGTTGATCCTTGTAATTTGTGCCATGTACTGTATGACAGCGATAGTACATGTTGGGTAGTTGTCAGGAAAAGGTTAAGGACATACCCTTACAGACAAAGCATGTCAAGAACTTTTGGGTGGTCAAGGCTTTTTAACTAAGTCAAAAGACTTAGCCATGTGTTAATAAGTGGGTACAGTATTGTCACAACAATTAAGCAAGTTACAAATAACTACAGAGGTATGGTGCAGAATTTACCTTACTTCATCTCCATTTAAATAAGATTATTTTTACAATTACTTGAAATCTTTTGGCTGCAATTTTTTTTGGTTCACCACTTTTAATTATGTCTTTATTGCTTCTTTGGGGTTTTGGCACCGTAGTCTATTTAGTACTAGACACCAGTAATGAGAAAGCACCGATTTAAGTATATTCTTATATCTAAATAACTAATGACTGTATAGGCTATTTTATGTATTTTAATTAGTAACTGTGGATGTTGGTTTTATTAATGCTTTTATTATTATGCTTTTATTATTATTATTGTTCATTTGTTAAAAGATAAAATAATATCTTGTTTCCAGTTATGTATGTTGGCAGCCATGATAGAACATGGGCATTACCTCGTCTGTCAATATTTCAAGTCCCCTCGTGTAGCCAAAGTATATGTGGGAGCCGTGGGAGTTTGGATGGTGGCAATCCTCTATGTATTTTGGTTCTTTGCACCCGTTACATATGGTGCAACCGACCTCACAGCTGATCAAGTAATGAAAATGGCTTGGAGGGAAACCTGGGATCTCATTATTCATAAGCAGTAACCAGTAGAGTATCCTAAGATTTTTTTTTTTAAGAAATAAAACATGAATATTTTTGTAATGTTATAACAGGGTTCATGGAGAGCCAGTCGAATAATTTTTTATTTTTATTTTTTATGAGGATTGAGGGACATGTCACAGTTCAGTGTTGTAACAGTCGGCCAGGTACTGTTGCATACAGGTTGAAATTATTTATGTGCATACTTTACAAATACAGTAATATGATTGTTATTGAAAGCAAATCTTACAAAAATTTATTTAATTTATTTAAGTTATTTGCATTGAACTTAATACAAAGTAACAGCCTATAATTACATTTTCTCTTTTTTGAGTAGTAAGGTTTGAACTTAAAATTTGTTTAATCTTTTTCACATTTACTGTACAGTGATTGAACTGATTTTCCTGGTCTAAAAATTCAAAATCTTTCCTACCAAGTGTTCATTTATAATCAATGAATGTGTTTAGTCATAAATAAAAATATACCACCTTGTGTTACCTTCAGCAACTTTGTCCAGTCCCATTTATTATCTTGTGTGAATCAGTTTTATATTCTGTAATATACACTAAATACTAGCTACTTGTAAAGTATTTGTGTACAGTATTTGCATGTGATGTAAAAATTCCTACAGGTGATCTGAGTTTGTGGTAGCCATTTTATAAACAGTACTTCCAAGTAGTTCTTCCTGTATAGTACATACCAATATACTTGTACGTCTATGTATAAAGATATTAATTTTAGTTAAGTGAATTCTTGTTAGTTATAAAACTGAAAGATGTGAATGTAATATTTGACAATGGATAAATAATAAATCATCGGTGTAATTAAGTTATTTATGATGGCATGATACTCGAAGTTGGTACAGATACTAAATAGTTTTATTACCATATAATCTTGGTGATGGTGATATAAATGTTACTCAAAATACTTATTGCTATTTTTGTATATTTGTTACTTTGATATATAAAAGAAAATACAGTGATGACGAGTTTTAATACTACTTTTATCATAGATAAGGATTTATTGCTGTAATGAAATGCATGAACTTCGTCCAGACACATTGTTGTTGTTTTCGTTGAGTTGGGCAGACACGTCGACGAAACATCCCAGTGTGATGCATAACATGTTTAGGAGGCGAGTGACCTTGCAGTGTGCCGCTGCCTTGAGTCACCACGATAATAGTCCTCTTCCAAGCACTACCACCGTCACTTTCTCACCACCACCCATCCTCAGCATCACGACACAATCACTTCAGCAGCAGCATCGCCACCACTTCCACAATCACTTCCCCAGCGCCGCCACCACAATCACTTCCCCAGTGCTGCCACCACAATCACTTCCCCAATGCTGCTACCACAATCACTTTCCTAGTCCCACCACCACAATCACTTCCCCAGCACTTAGCTGCAACAAACAGTCAGTAGGAGCGAGGACGTTCAGCCAGGAAAGTGATCAGATGTGTAGTGAGCGGGACCACGCCTCCCTAATTCTGAAGTTTACTGAAGCTCCGAGACACCTCGCTTACTCGCTCACACAAAATAAACTGAAGCACTTCCATTTGAAACATATTTGGGTCAAGGATTTTTATTTATTTTTTCACAACGTGTAGATCATTAGCAAGATAATAACCCTCTTAATTGTGTTTACACAGATTAATACAATATATTCTTGTTTGATTATGTAATTAAAGATTCTGAAAAAAACTGGATTCGCAGCTCCATGACTTCTGATTCGGGGATATTGTTTATAAAATTAAATGAATCGTAGCGGTTTCTTGAGGAGGCCTTGTATATGATGTCATGAGTGGGAGGAGCTCAGAAACAAGGTGTGGAGTTATGATCAGTGTGGTTGTTTGTAATGGCCATTAACATACCACAGTGGTGACTTTTATTACTAAATTAATTATTTAATGTGTACACGATCTTATACTCGTCAACCCAAATTTATTGATCTACAACATTCACCATAAAATATCTTCATTAATTGCTAAATTAAGTATTATTTACATGGTCTTCAGTTACAGTAAGTTATGTTTTTATCTGTTTATTTACCATAGGTCATTGTGGACCGAAGCCCTTAGTGGGTGTCGCTGTTAATGCCAGGTGTGACCAGCGCTTAATTTGTGCCAGAAAATACTAAAATGGCGTTCTAGCACTTTAAGATTTACTTGAGTAGATTGTAAATATAATCTTGTATCCTTAACTTTTCAATGCAATGTATATAATTTCTTCACAATGTGACCTCACAAGCTCTGGCAATAAGTGCTTTCCCAGTTCCACAGGCTCTGTCGGCTCCTTCACAGCATCTGTCTCGGACTCGCTAAAGTTCCACCACTTCTTATTTTACAAATCACGCTCTAGGTCTGATAGTTCTTAATAGTTAGGTTAGCTTAGGTTGGGTCTATGAGGGAGAAGTTTACTTAGATTATGAGCAGATGGTGCAGGAGTACAGCCCCCCTCTCTCACTCCTAACGACTGAGGTTCAATTCTCACTTGGGTCGGATGTGACCGTATTAAATGGCCGACTAGAAGAAGAAACTGGTTACCTCCATTACTATACTGTAGTTTCCCAAGTTTGTTAAATAAATCCGCTGTTGGATATGTAAGAGATTGGTGCGTGAATTTCTTTCTCTGCATGATATACAAGTCCCCAAAAGAGTTCACTGAACTTGACTTAATCTACAGATGACGGACAAAAGGACATCGAGAATGCACTGATAAACAATACCAAGGACACGAGTCCTTGACAACGTGTGAAAGTGTGGCCACGTCACAGCTGCTGTGGCAGCTGATGATGATCTCTTGTTTTATCAACACAGATAACATTGTGTGAGTTAAAACAGTCCTGTAGTGCAGCGTAGTAGAGCACAGGCTACATTTATAGCAAAATTTAAGCGTATGGTCTCAAGAGGAGGCTTGACATTGATCACTCTTGTACTGCTAAGTTTCTCCTTGGGTCTCACAGGTAGAGTATAAGTACAGTGTACTATGAACTTTGGAGTTTTATTCTTTTAGCAGTCGTCAGGTGCTGGTGTTTTTAAGACCGCTGTTGTAAAGAAGTGAGTGTTTTATGAGTACCAGTTATTAAGAAAGCTGTTTTGAAGTGTTTTTTTAAGAATGTCTGCATTTCAGATACAGTACAGCTGGTCTTAAGACAATGCTGTTCTTTAAATGCTGCCGTTTATCACCGAGTTATCAGGCAGAATGAATATAAGGAAATACTGTTTCACAGAGGCTGGTAGAGCTATGGAACAGTCTACCAGCCCAAGCTGCAGAGTCGAGAACAGTCCTGGGCTTCAGAATAGCCCTTGACCCAATAACCAAGAACAACGGAGGGATCCTACTCAGGCCACTGGCCTCCTTCCCTCTGCATGGCCACATCTAGTGGGTGGCCATTAGGTAAATAAGTTAAACGGCTTCTCTTCAACTACAGACCCAGATGTTCCCAAGCTGCAACTGTTCTTAAGACAACTGTTGGTAAGACGCAACTGTTCTTAATGAGCCAGTTGTATTTTAAAACCACAGCTGTACTTAAAAATTGAAATACTTTATTGACCATAAAACTATTACATCAAAAGGACAGGGTAGTATACGACTCCCACCCTCACCTTTGCCATCCCCTTCTGGGGTTTACCAATGTTATAATACAATATTTATTTTTACAGAAATGAAATAGTTCATTTTGGCATGAACACTACTACACTAAAAGAACAGATAGTGAAATCTTACACAAAGTTAAATGTCATATCCATGGAACAGCAGTACTTAGATAATCGCCAGTACTGTGTGAGAGCTCATCAAATAGCTTCATACAGTAGTTGGGACCCGTCAGGCGTTGCAGTGTAGTGTTTTACGCCCAAATTCTGCATTGCCACTTGCTTTCGCATAAAACGGCAGTAATAATTTGTTTGGAAAGATCCCAAAGATAAGTTTAAGTTCGACAGTGTTATTTTACCTTCTGATAAATGTATAGTTCGGGATTGCTTCGGGCTTCAATCATAACAGGGCTGCCGACCTGGACATAGGCAAGTGGTTGGTACTACCTGTACTAATGAAACGTGCCCTAATGTTTTCACATTTGTTCGAAATGTATAGCTTGTTTATCACTTGGGCGATTGCTACTGATTATTATTAAAAACTGAAATTAAATACTTATCTTTTGGGAGGTACCAATGAGTGAATATTGTGTTTGGTCCAAGGAATATTAGATATTTCTTGCATGCTGTTTTACCAGCCAGTTTACCTGATTGGGGCTAAACACAGGCATGGGAGGGGGGCGAGCTCAAGGTGTGACAAGTGCTTGGGTCGTTTGGCTTGTTGAGGAAGACCAGCTCACAATGGCGGAAGACTTTACACGAGATACTGGCTGGCCCGTCCTTACAAGCGCTTCTTATAGCAGCACACTGATGAGAGAATATCGGGTAAGGATGAGGGAAGTAATGTCAAAGTTGAATCATCTTCTACAGGTCATGACTCTGGGTCATTGAGTGATGACATTGTTATTAAACAAATATCTATCACGTGGGAGAAGTTGATATGGGACCAGGACATAGAACTTCAGTTAGTAGAAATAATTTGTAAAACTGTAGATAAGGATGAAGGTACAAGCTTGCCTGTGTGATAATGAAATTCCGGCCTTTATCTGTCCTTCCTGATAAGGTTAGGCATAATGTATAGTCAAGAGCAATAGTCGTGTGACACACTCCCTGCGTATTCAATATGACAATGACCATGCAATCTACAATACTTGGGAGGTGTTTACACTGTTTGATGAGTATGGTGGAGGAGAGGTTCCATCTCACACCGGTAATGGAGGTGGAACTAGGAAGACACTTAAGAGTGGAGAAAGCACCAGAAGATTATTGCCACATGTCTACTGGCCAGGGATGACAAGGGACGTGACTAAGTACTACTGTAAGATGTACCATGAATGCTGAGTGACTGGAAAGCCAAATCAAGTAATAAAGTTTATCCCACTACAGTTGTTGATGAGCTATTCAGTAAGGTAATAACAATGTGTAGGACCTCTCAAAAGGTAGGCATGGAAATAAATTTTTAGGATCATACTATGTGCTACTGTTCCATTAGGTATCCAGAGGCTGCACCCGTGTGCTGTACTACGTCAGTGAAGTTGCTTAAAACTTTGGTCAAATGCCAGGAACAGTATTATATGATCTGACCAGGGAACAAAATTCACTTCTCTCTCTCTTCCAGCATCTGCCTATTACCCTCAGTCACAAGGTGGCCGAAAAATAGATCCCTGCAGATATTTAAGGCGGTGAGTATGACGTATTGCTTGGAACAGGAAATAGGATTGGGGTGAAGGTGTTACTGTGATGTTTTTTGTTATTCGAGACAATCCACAATACACCTTAGGTTTTTGTCCTTCTGAACTATAGTGTTTTTGGTCATACTGTCAAGTTATGACTAGTCTAGTACTTCTAGATTCATGACATGTGATTTTTCTAAGATATGTCATTTTTTATTATCAATTATAAGAACAATTTTGTGTGTGTTTCAGAATTTTGCTTCATTTTCCTCCACAGAATAAAATTAACATTACACCACTGTCCAAATTTACGTGTAATATTGATATCCATATTTTGGTTTTCAGGTTGATGCAGTGTGAGCAGAGATAAGAATATCAGAAGTGCAGTGTCATATGACCTCAGCCCTGGGAGAAACTATGGCCAATCACCAAGAGACAACAGTGTCACTAAAAGATGAAGGAGGTCACAGCATCCCTGGTCACGCTTCCCTCAATGAACACACCACAAAAGGAGATGGTTTAGAAGATACTGAATTACTGAATGACAGGAAAAATGTAAGTACAGATGAAGACGGCCAAAGAGACACTGGGAGGTCATGTCTCAGAGGCAGTGGTGTAGCAGTAGCCGATGGTGAGAAGTGGACAGTCGCGCTGGGGGTATTCATCATCTTGGTGAGTGACGGGTGGCGGCCAAGTTAATGGAAGATGTGTTTAATATTAGGTTGGAAATAGACATGCACAGGATTCTCAACTGAAAATATTAATTGCAAAATAACATTCCTTAGTCTGTACTGTATTTCCGTCTTGAATGTTTTAATCTCATTATTCCAGCCATTCTTCTTGACGGCTACAAGTATTTCTGTGTGTAAGATGATTGAAAAAGTGATGACACACACATGGTGATTGATACCTTTACTTTTTCTTCCCGCCAGACGATGACCAACATGGTGGGTCTCTGCTTCGGTATCATCTTTTCTCCCTTCCTCCTAAGTCTGGGAACATCCTCCACTACGGTCGCCTGGATCTTCAACTCCCTGTTACTGTTGTGGTTTACCAGTGGTTTATTTCTTGGTCCCCTGGTGGAGGAGTTCGGGTGGATGAAGATAGCCCTGGTGTTTTCCTTCGTGTACTCCTGTTCCATCGTCCTCTCTGCCTTTGCCACCTCAGCCTGGTTCCTTATATTCTCGTTCTCCATCATGGGAGGTAAGACGTACTACATGGTGATATCATGATGTATAGAACACATAATATTCAGGAATAGATAATGTCTAATGAAACCCATCCTATTAGTATGCATCTAGTTGATCTGTTGAGGGGTTGGCCGTAGTCTAAAGCTCCGACACCTCAGTTACCCAAAGAGGTTAAAATGACTGTGTTTTTTTATGGGGAATAGTCCACCTGAGCACAGGTCATCGACTCACAACGGGATCTAGGGGGCTAAAAAATAAGAGTAGAAAGAAAAAAAATAGAGAATAAAAATAATATGTTAATCTACACCACGAAGATGTCGGAAAACCATCTTTTTGAAGTGAGACAGACTGTAAGATAGGCGAGGGGTGACATACTTAATAGAAGTATATAAGCATCCCAGATGACATTACCAAGTCGAATGCTCGTACCTGGAGCTATAGGATGGCTGCCCCACTAGAGGTCACAGCCTCGGATAAAAAACCCACAAGTTTAGAAAATTGTCAGGGCAAACTATCCGGGGTGAGAGTTGTGAACTCTTGGAATAATATGCCAGAAAGTGTTGTGACGGCACTGAGCTTGAGGTCATTCAGGACCAAACTTGACCAACAGATACACCCTGGGGCCAGTACTTGTCAACAGTGAGTAACAGAGAAGTAACCGACCGACAAAGTGGCTAGCAGGTCGATCAGTGGCACAGAGGATTTCCAGATTTTTCAGGAACGTAACCCCTTGTATGTGTGGACGCATTAACGAATCATCCTTTTGTCTAAAACAATCCTCCAGTGCAAAATGATGGTGAGACATGACAGGTGAAAACATAAGTGAAGCTGATGTGACATTAAGGTTTAAGTTTATTATACTGTACTGATCATTCATACATGATGACTATGATAACATGTGGATGTGGGGGAAACTTACTTCTTAAATTGTTAAAACTTTTACAACAGTGAACTTGGCTAGGATTCATTACTCAGAATTAGTGTTACTTTTACTTTTATCCCCTTCGCCACCGATCGGCTCGCTAGCCGCTTGGGTGATCGGTCACGTCTCTTTTCATTTATATTCTTCACCAAAAGATCGGCTCGCTAGCCACCCGGGCGATCGGTCACGTCTCTGTCACGCACTGTTGGCAAATACTGGGCATGCACCGGCTCCTGAATGTACCTGAACCCGCTCCAGTGTTGGTCAAGTCTTCTCTTGAAAGAGCTCACACTCGGTGCCGTCACAACACTCTCCGGTAGATTGTTCCAAGAGTTTACAACCCTCACTCCGAAAAAGTTTGCCCTCATGGTTTTCTGGACTTGCGGCTTCTTCAATCTTGAGCTGTGACCCCTTGTGGGGCGAGCGTCCGCCAGCTCCAAGTAAGGACACTCAACTGAGTAGTGCCCCCTGAGATGGTTATACACCTCAACTAGGTCCCCCCTTGCCCGTCTGTAGTATAAGCTAGGCAAGTTCAGGCGCTCCAATCTCTCTGGGTAGCTGAGGTGCTGAAGTGCAGGCACCAGTCTGGTGGCCCTCCTTTGAACATTTTCAACCAACTGACAGTCCCTAGTATATCTTAGGGACCAGATGGGGTGACAGTACTCCAGATGGGGAAGCACTTCACTCCTGAAGATCGTCACGAGGGACGGACCGTCTAGATATCTGAACGACCTTCTTATAAGACCCAATGATTTATTTGCCTGATTTACCTTCTTCTCACAATGGCCCGAGAACTTCAGCTCATTGTCAACATACACACCTAGGTCCTTCTCACACACAGTCTCAACTAGTGCATTTTTTTCATCCCGTTGGGACATATGATACGCCTCCTTACCGTTGGTACGCCCCAGGTGCATCCTCTTACACTTCGTGACATTGAATCTCAGCAGCCATTTCTTCGACCATTCCTGGAGCCCACAGAGGTCCTTCTGCAGCTCTTCACAGTCCGCTTGGTTCTTAATTTCCCAAAATAACTTGCCATCATCGGCAAACATTTGTATGGAGGAGTGTACAACGTCAGGCATGTCATTTATGAAACAAACAAACAACAGCGGGCCCAATACACTGCCCTGTGGTACCCCACTTGTTACAGGTACAGATGACGATTTTGTGCCATTAATCACCACACACTGCTTGCGGTCATGTAGAAAGTCTTCTATCCACGCTAGGACATTTCCCCGAATTCCATACCCTTCCAGTTTGATTTTCAGCCTTTCGTGGGGTACACTGTCGAAAGCCTTGACAAAATCTAGGTAAATATTGTCGATATTACCACCCCGTTCCAGAATATGGGTCCAAATATCCAATACCTTGAGCAATTGTTGCTACTTTGAATGTTATATAATAATAAATTACTTACGAATTTCTAATAATGAATAAGTGAATATAGGAATATGATGAACAAAAAGGTTTTACATTTTCTTTAACCCGAAGGAATAAGCGGAGGCCTCCTGAACGCCCTCTGCTTTCTCATCATCCCTCACTACTTCACGCGACGGAAGGGTGTGGCTAATGCATGTGCGATGTCTGGTGTTGGCACGGGACAAATAGCAGGGTCGATTATTATAGGGTTCCTGCAGGAGGAGTTTGCGTTCTTTGGCGCCACAGTCATCCTGGGTGCTGCCACTCTTCACTGCTTTGTTGGTACCTTTTTATTGAGCCCAGTCCAGCGTCATGAAAACGGTCCAGAAGCAGGTGCTGACAAAGTAAACAAAAAGAGGTGTCATATCTCTGGCAATGCATTCCTTCGAGTCTTTCGCAGCAGTGTGGCCAACTTGACTATCCTGAAGTCCTCCCGAGCTGCCATCCTCGCTGTGGGAGGGATGTTTACGGTTAACAGTCACCTGAGCTTCATATCCTTGATTCCCTTTGCAATACAGGCAGCTGGTCACTCCCTCAGGGCAGCGAGCCTGTGTGTGACGGTGTCGGCCGTAGCCAGCATGGTAACTCGGTGTGCAGTGTCCACGCTAACAGACTGGCCCTGGTTCAGCATACGGGTCTGTCAGATGGCCAGCACCACCACCATCGTTATCTCCACTGTAGGTTAGTATATTAAACAATTAGTTTTTAAGACACAACGTTTGGGACATTTACTTGAAACGTTTATTTAAATTCTTTTAGAAAACCAGATGTACGTACATATTGTTCTCAAGAAGTGAGCCTTAACCTTATGACATCTAATACAAATCCAAACTTTAGACATTTGTTAACATTTACAGGTACTTGGGTTATATTAAAGCGTACGTCTCTTTTCTTAAACGGGTAAAAAGGATCTTCTGGCAACAATTAAATGCACATCAAGAGGTAAATTTTCAGTAAGTGAAAGATTCATAATGTTAAACCTTTAATCCTCGAGTACTTTGACCTGTTATTGCTCTCCTCATTACGCTGCCTTGGAAGCCTACCCCTAATATATAGTTGATCACCACAGTACCAGATCTACAGTAGTTTGTAAATTAACACAGTAGGAGAGTATTTTTTATAACAATATATGCATGACGAAATATAATTTTTGTTGTTGTTATGATTGTAATTCAGAATATTTTATACTATATATGCCTTCTGGTACTTGTTATCATTAGTTTGAAAGGTTATTGGTTAATTATGGATAAATTATGGGGTAAATTTTGGCTCTGTCGCTGTAACTTAATGAATGGTAGATACTAGATCATATTGGATGAACGTTTGTTTATTTAAGGTGTTGTTTACTGTCATAACCAAATTATAACGTAAGGTTAAATTAGGTCAGAGATGATGAATTTAATTTATTGTTTGTAAAGAATTGTGATTATCCACATGTTCGTCCATAAGTCCAGACGAGTTGTCCAAGGATAAGTGAAATAACCTAAAGTCCTGTTGCAGTCCACTGGCCTCACAACGGTCTTAATTATAAAGCTAATGTTAAGTTAAAGACAAAACTACATTTGAGTCTCATAAATATTAATTACTTTTAAAAAGAAATATAATGGCAACGATCATGTACCTTCATTTTTTACATTATTACTCGTAGCTTTCAGTTTGGTGGAAGACGTCTGGTGGCAGACGGTATTTATGGGCTTGTGGGGGTGTGGCGTGGGCGGTGTCATGGGAATCTTCAACCTAACTTTCGCCCATTATATGGGACTTGACAACATGGCTTCCACCATGGGCACCACACAACTGCTGATTGGCTTCGGCGCCATCATCATCGGACCAACCATCGGTAAGTTTGGGATATATTATGAGGAGGACAAGTTGGTGTAGAGCTTTCCTGCTGCCACTGTTAGGTGCATTATACCCAGGAACAAGACCCCAGCTACAGGTAAGTTTGGTTCTCTCTCTCTCTCTCTGAGGGCTTGACGAGTTAACGCTAATGTTGGCCAGATACTTTATAATATTTTTCTCGTCAACATTTTGAGGCGACTCTCATATGTTAGCTTCTCGTGCCTTGCTGACTTCTTCACTATATTGGTTTGGTATGTAGTCACTGTAAATTATAGGCTTATTTCCTAAGAAAATGAGCCAATTGTTCATATTCCAGTAGTGTTCATATAATTAATATATAATCTTGCAGCATTTACATTCTCCAAATAAGAAATGTATATCTAACTCTTGGTAGTTTCAAGAACATGTTAAAATCGATTAATCTTTCTATATTACATTCCCACCACACAGTAGTACAATATATAGATGATAAGACAAAAGGGTCCACGGTACCGTCACCCTTCGCCAAGTTTGTGTACTTTGAGGTGTATCTCCCTAGGTTTGATCCGGGACGTCAGTGGGAGTTACGTCGTCACCATGTGGGTGTTGGCTGGGCTGGCCGCTGGCGGCTTCGTGCTCTGGGTATTCATGCCGGTCGCCGTCCGTCACGACCTTAACAAATCCCACAACACTTCTCTCTCCAGGCAGCCTTGATGTCTCACCACCAAACTACCTATCATAACTTAAAGTATTCTAAATTTAAGTTTAAATTTGAGTGTCATGGCTGCACGCAAACTGTTACAAGTAAGAGTGATACTCATTACATGTGCAGGATGAGCTCAGAGAGGGAAATTTTAAGAGTTAATTTCCTTTTCTTGATTTATTGATTTAGTACTCTACAGGATAAAAATAATTCATTTATATAACAAAAGTTGTCTGGTACTTGTTTAGCTCACAGATTATACAGTGGTCCCTCGGCTAACGAGCGTCTCGGTTAACAAGATTTCGGTTAATGAGTTACCTCCCATAAGATTCTTAAATTCGGTTAACGAGCAACCCCTCGGTTAACAAGTTTCTTACGAGCCGACCTCAACAAGTTTTGGCTTACACTGGGCGGTCAACCAGCTGTAGTATTAGTCTGCCAATACATTAATCGGTTCTAGGGCTTAAATTCCTTACTATTTTAGTATATATCAAGAAGTTTATACTATTAAAAAATGTTTAAAGTTTAATATTAGATTTTTTAGTAATTTTAACAATTATTGAACATAATTGAAGGTAAAGTGATTAGTTTAATGGGCGGCATCCAGCCTCTTAACACAGCAAACAGGCGTTAGTCTCTCTTCAACTAAACGCTTTTTTTCTGTGTTTCCAAGCAAATTATTGGCCATTTTGAAATTTATTTTATATATTGACAATATATAGCTCAGTGCAGTGTTATTTTAAAGAAAATATTCTTTATTTACAACAAGTTTAACTTTGAAAAGCACGTGTTGACATTGTTTGAATCCAGCATGGGGCCTAAGAGATCAAGAAAAGCGATTTCAATCCAAACCAAGCAGGAAATCATAAAAAACATGAACAAGGCATTAGAACAAATGCGCTATGCAAAGAATATGGCATGTCGACATCAACTGTGTCGACAATTCTTGCACAGAAAGACAAATTTAAAGAAGTGAAAGTGAGAGACAAATCTACAAGAGTGTTTAAAAGTAGATCCCTAATTGCCGAAACTGAGAGGTTACTTATCATCTGGATTAGGGAAAAACAGATGAAAGGTGAATCAGTTTCTACTGAATTCATTTGTGAAAGAGCCAGGGAGATTTACGAACATTTAAAGACAGATCAACCTGGTTCTTCAGGCACAGAATTTGAAGATTTTCGGGCCAGCAAAGGCTGGTTCGAAAAATTTAAGAAAAGAAGTGACATTTTCAGTGTTGTTAGGCATGGTGAAGCTGCTAGTGCTGATAAGGAAGGGGCAGCAAAGTTTTTAGATGAATTTAAAAAACTTATGGAAGAAGAAAATTATCTTCCACAGCAAGTGTTCAATGTGGACGAAACTGGGCTGTTCTGGAAAAAGATGCTCAAAAGAACATTCATCACCAGAGATGAAGCCTCTTTACCTGGGCATAAACCCATGAAAGACCGTCTCACTCTATTGCTTGGTGCCAATGCTTCAGGGGATTTCCGACTGAAGCCTATGCTTGTCTACCACTCTGAAAACCCCAGGGTGTTCAAGCAACAGAAAGTGGTAAGAACAAAGCTTGGAGTTTATTGGAAGTCCAACCGTAAGGCATTGGTGACAAGACAGCTCTTTAATGAATGGGCTGTTGATGTGTTTTGCCCATCTGTCAAGAGCTACCTAACCACCAATAAACTCCCTTTAAAGGTTCTTCTCCTCATGGATAATGCTCCTGGTCATGACCCTGACCTTGCCAAATAACTCGTACCCCACAGTATCTGTCATTATAATCTAAAATGGTAAATATTCATAGTGCAGTGATTACGTTTTGGTCATGGCCGCAATACATCGTCACAACTTACTAGCGGATATACATGAACGTGTTGCGGTATTATTAAGGGTTGAGGAATCACGTATGTATCAGTCACTTGTACAGGTCTGTTAATGTGTTCAGGCTCATTAACACTCTACCCTGGCATCGGACTCATCTTTATGGTAACATTATCGTACATTTTACCATCTACAGCCATCCTTACTCAAGGTTTTCAGGAATAGCCGGTAGTCTGCCAGCCTGCACCTCTATTGTTGTTCTGTAGGCAATATGAATATGTTAATTTCTCATAAAATGCCACGCATAAAAGATACACAATATATACAAACATAAATTATCGCATATTCATACGAAATAAAGCTACATTTTTACTGTTCCTACCAGGGACGGCCCGAGGCTGCAGTCAAGGTTAAGAAATATTTACCGCAGTTCTGCTCCAGACAGCTCGGTTGAATTTATGTCTTGGCCGTATCTAACAAGAATTCAAGGAGAACCCTTTTCAACGAACTTTTTTCCATCTTAAAATTTATTTGTATGATACCCTACATGCGAAGCTCTGTCTTTGATTATTCCTATGTACAGTATATAATAACGTATTCTGCAGCGAAAACTTTTCTGCTATTTCTTTTAGGTGAGTTTAATTTATTCCATTCCTTGTCAGTTCATTTATCTTGAGTTCATTTAGAAATTTGTTTCATATCTACTTTTATTCCACACTCTCTGTTTATGTCTTCATCGTTCATAATTAAGTTTTAATAGGACAGAAAATATGTCGGAATCCTCGACTGCGTCATCCGTCTTGTGGTCATGAACACTCACGGAGGAAGCCACCACCAAGAGTGGAGCCAGCGAACACCTCGACATTTTAAGCATTTTATATGACCCACCGAGAAGTACTGCAGTGCTCCGTGACTATATGTTGAGATTACAGCTCCTATTGTAAGAGACGAACATTTAACGTTTTATTCTTACTAAGTAATAACATTGGATGGTAACTATGTCGTTAACTTACATCATAGAAGCAGTAATTATTGTTTTCTATGGATGAAAGAGACATAATGGGTTTGATATAATAAATACAAATACAAATGTGTGTGCGTGTGTGTGTGAACAATCATTAATAGCGGAAACAATGGCGTGGGATTCAAAATATACTGTTCCGGTGTCGAATGGTAACAAGAGTAATTTGATATATATTTTTATTACCATGACTCAAAAAACTTTATTATATCATTATTTCTGGGATTGAAAACAGTATATGAAAATTAATTTAATATATAACTCTTTGTAAACAAATATCGTTGGTTAAGTTTAATTATTAAATACAACTGTCCAACACGATTGATGGATAGTCTAGTTGCTATTGATTCACAACCATGACTAGCACACCTACTAACAGCAGTGAACACAATATGACTTACAAAGATGCATTTACATGTTGAGGACGTTTATGAGAGATTCCCGTGTGCAGTATGGGTCACGTTCACGATAAGATGAAAGACACAAATAAGGTCAATAAAACCAGTGGGTCTTCCCGTGATGATAAGTCTAACCTTGATCTGAAATTGTGACCCTGACCTTCATGCTCGATACTTGGTACCTGTTTGTGTCTTCACTGGAGAATTGGAATAGATAAATGAAAACAAATGCAGACTCAAGAGTAATACTCCAGGAGACGTGGAGTTGACGGGCAAACGTACTGTGTGAGACGCGGGTTGTGAGGAAGACAAAGGAGGAAGGAATACAAGGAGGTCACGCTCTGGGGGGGAGAGCTTAATAGGAGTCAACCCCTCCTAACCTGAAGGTATTTAATAAAGCATCAGACAATAATCTCTTGGCAGGAAAAAAATAACTTGGCTCGAGGAACTGTTTAGTGTCAGGGAGTCAGATTATCCGTGTGTGTGTGTGTAGCGTTGCCTGGGAGGGATGTGCTCATAGAGAAGCTTACTGAAGGGAGGGTAGTATAGTTATTGTCGTCTGTTATTTTGTTATGTTTCTTGTATAATTTGAACCCTTTCTATAATTCAATTTAATTCTCGAGTACAAACGATTATAAGCAATTTATTCCCTTTAAGCGTAGGTAATAGGCAGCTACCAAACAGAGGTACTACCGCCTGGGAAGATACTGGAAGATAATGCATTGTCTAATAGTAGACCCTGCTGCCATATGGCATCACGAAAATTGTGACCAAATCCCAGGTTGCTCATCTGACTTTCTGCCTCATTTACACACAATTGCAGGGTCTCAATTGTTTCTCTTTCTTTGACAACACAATATACATATATTGTTTCTCACTATTGCTCCTTGTTTTCTTTGTTTTACTTATTTATGGTTCCTTATTATTATTATTATTATTATTATTATTATTATTATTATTATTATTATTATTATTATTATTATT